GATGTTAGTAATAATTTGCCATCAGAAAGGTTTTGTGTCACTGACGTTGAGTAAATGCATTTTCGATCATGTTTGTCTCACCCACCAACCAGTTGACTTCAATCATTCAAAGGTGGGAAAGTTACAGAGATATATTATTACGTTGTTATATAAAACATCATGGAGGGCAGACAGTCAGCAGCCCCGTAATGAAGGGACCCGACTTGGGTAAGGCTACTTAGGTGTGAGTCAAACCAAGACGCAGAGAGCACCATTGACAATAGCGTCCCACCAAACAACCATCGCAGAGACGCAATGCTGCAGAACGCATCAAGCATCAATACGACTATTGTCGAGCTTACACCATCCCAAGATCCCTCATACTTCCCAGCAGACATCACAACCCGCATACCTCCATCGACTAGAACCACAAGAGTGCGTCGAATCAGGCGCAGTACACCCGCAGATCCATCACAAGACGCAATACCACAAGAAGCAGTAAGCATTAATGCAACTATTATACGGATGGCGCCCCCTCACAACACACCCACATGATCCCTATCGACTTTGGTAACAAAGTTTGTATTGTTGTTAACTAAAAAATATCACCAACGTATCATAGTAGCACGCTACTAAGAAACCAGTGAATAAAATTCCACGTATCATAGCGCTAATGCACTAAGACATGAAGTTGAGTATGCCTGTTACAATTAAAAGTGCTACCAAACACACTCATCCTAATCCGAAAGATAGACGACGCATCGCTATGCGCTACGACGCCGCCCACATATGGTATGGGTGTGCGATGTCTACGGGAAAGCCGTATTGCTACAACAACCCGCTTACCACAGGCACTAAGATCATATGCCTAGGATACATCGGTTAGCGAGTCCAAGTTTACCTCGGACCAATTGATCGTGATCGGGGCAGTATTGAATTTGGCGAGACAAGCGAAGCTTCGGAGTGAAATAAAGTGAATCGGTGTGATTAATTATTAGAGTTTTAAGTTTTAATTGGTGTTCGGTAATAAAAGTATAAATTTTGGTAATTTAATCGGCAGTTTTTATTGTCACGAACCTCAAGCTGGTAACAATATTTTCGACTTGTATTTCAATTATTTATCATATTTTAAATATTTTTAAAAGTTCTTTAATAAATTTATTTATTCGGAAAGATATTATTTTGCCTTAAATTTACTTTTACTTTTATCTTAACTTTATGCTTATTAATGTAATTTTATTTTTTAATATATATCTTTTAAGACTATTTCTGATGCCGACATATCGTTATATTATTCGGTTAATTGGAAATTTTCTATTAATGAGAAAATAAGATGAAAAAACTGTACACGCAAGTTTAAAACTAAATTTATAACCAGCGACCCGCTCTGGCTTTATCTGGGTAGTTTCTAATAATGTGGCGTTATTTGGAAATAGATAGTCCATTAAAGTTTATTTGTTTTATCTTATCAATATTTCTATTTTAATAAAATCTCTAAATTTTCCGGATTAAATTTAGTCTAGATCACTGGTATTACACTTCAGCAAAAATTGAGAGAGCTTGGTTGAGAAGTGTTAATGCATCCACCATAATTATAGTCCTAACCTTGTACCCTCAGATTTTCATCTGTTTCGGTCTTTTCAGAATTATTTTGGTAGCGTTAGGTTAACGTCAAGAGAGGAATGTCAAAACTAATTGTAATTTTTTTTTATCAATAATCCCAAGATTTCTACAACAACAGAATTATGTCACTACCTACAGGTTTGCAACAAGTTATCGAATAAAATGGCATATATATATTGTTATAATTAAATGTAATTAAGCTTAAAAAATCTTGAATCTAAATTCAAATATAAATTACGTAAAAACTTTTCCCCGACCTTTTAGTATGAGACCTACCAAATATAATACAGGTGTATTTATGGGGCAAGCACAGAGCTTGTCGCTCATGTTAGGTAGCATTTGTTCTGCTCATTTGCGTTAAAGAAATGTTATCCATTCCGCTCGAACTACTCTGTTGCGCTCCCCAATCCTCAGAGGACATAGTTTTGACGTTTGTAAAACCCTTTTGTCGTATCTCTACAATTTCAGGGCACTCCACTTGCTAGCATTGAAATTCGAATCATCGACATATCGAGTAATGTGCATATACCATCTGGATATTCAGTCTGCCACTGTGCGTTTTACTAGGAGTTTTCATCCTCATATGAAATTTTCGAGGAATTGTTGAACATACAACACTGGAACAGCAGTAAGGCTAGAAAACTCTACTCTCCCAGCGAGTTTCGCAAACCTTTATTTAGCAATAATCCTTCAATAGGCTTGAAAATCGCTTCCTAATGCATTGTTGATCCAGAGAATACAACAAACAAATTTGGGGAAATCCGAATAAAGAAACTGATTTAACATAAGTTTTGTCTGCATCAGCTATCGACAAACTAAAAGTGTGACTACCACATATATATTTTTTATAGGATAGGGTGACAAACGAGCACACAGTCCACCTAATGGTAAATGGTTGCTGCAGTCCATAGACATCTACATCCTGGAAGCCCTACAAAATTAAACTTATCCCTTAGACAGGGCGGAGTAGAAGGGTGAAATAATACACAGTGCAGAATAGAAAGAATATGCATATTCCGGCGAAGTCGGATAGGTTCCACTTGAGACGTGAGCGAAGTTAAGAAATATGGTCAAATTTGCGCCATCTAAATATGAACAGATTCCTAGTATTTTGAAGTCTCTCAAGCTTATTTAGATGGTCCTCAGTTATATCTACATAGCTTGCGTCAGCATAGTCGAGTATCGGAAGTAGAAGAGACTGTGCGAGCATAATTTTTGTAGGAATGGGAACAAGTGATTGAAGTCGACGCAGAGAACAAAGAGCGACAAAGGTTTTCTCACTTACCTCGTTCAATTGGCGTATCCAATTTAAGGAATTATCGAGAAAAATACCAAGATTTTTGACATTGTCAAAGTAAGGGATTATAACTCCATCGAATCCGATAGGTGGTACAGAGAACCAGTCAATTCTTGAGGTAAAGCTCCGGCTACTAATAAGCCTGTTATTTTTCGGGATTGACATTTAGGCCATATGACTTACCCCACTTATGAATAATATTTAAATCGTTATTCAATGTAGCGATTGCTTTCGGCATATTCTCAAGAGTTGACTGGGTATAAATCTGTACATCATCCGCAAATGCATACATGGAAGAGAGGAGATATATTATGAGTGATTGAATTAGTGAAAATAGAAAAGATTAAAGGTGACAACACGCTGCCATGTGGTACGCCTGCAGTAATATCAAACCAAGATGAGTGAGTTCCATCGACAAGAATACACTGCCGACGGCCACAGAGATAACTTTGAAACCAGTTAATTACTGATGAAGATGTGTTAAGGGAACACAATAGACAAAAGACAATAGTCAAAAGTATATCGAAATCAACAGTATTGAACGCATTACCGAAATCCAGCAAGGTCATGAGTGTGAGTTGTTTATTATTAATACCCCACCGTATGTCATCAGTAACTTTGATTAAAGCAGTAGCCGTACTATGACCAGGACGGAAACCGGATTGTAAAGGATTCAATAAATTGTGCTTATGAAGGAAAAGGGTCATCTGTTGGCCAATAAATTTTTCAAGAACTTTAGAAAGGAAAGGTAAGATCGAAATGGGACAGAAATCAGAAAGGTTGACGGGATTGGATCTCTTCGGAAGGTATATTACATGTGCACTCTTCCAGGCTTGAGGGAATTTGTTTGTTTCTGAACGCACCAAGACCGTAATAAACGACACGACGCGATCGTGAGTTTGGTACTACAACAAAATAAAACAAACTAATAATAATGTGTGTCTATCTAAAACTGTTCGAAAAAAGTGTAATAAGTATTTTTTACGTAACCCGACAAAACTATATTTTGCAATTGTTTGCAAAATTAATTTTGATGGCTTACCGATTCGTAATTTTATTTATTGTTGTGCAAAAAATATAAAAAACAAATTAAAATATGAAGTAATGATTTTGTAGTTTTGTACTCAACACCGACACGTATGAAGTTGGTAATTAGTATCGTGACGAGATTTGATATCATGGGCCAACTTTATTATAGGATAGGATGACAAACGAGCACACAGCCCACCTGATGGTAAGTGGCTGCTGTGGGCAATAGACATCTACATCTATCCTCGACTATGAATCAAAATGAAGATGCGTTGTCATCCGTGAGGACTTAGGTGGAATGCCTCGTTTCCAGTAAAAAGGGTCTCCGGTTCTTTACACTCACCATACGAAACACTGCAGCATTAAGCTACTATTTTACGCTGGTATTCTTTGAGAGCCTGGTCCTTCCCCGGTCGAGCCAACCCATTCGTGCTATAACTATACTACTAATATGACTGCAGCGTGGCTCTATCACGTATAAAATATATATCGTATATTGAAAAATGCTCGAGAATATTGATTTAGAATTCAGGTTTATATAATATACCTTTAATTTTCCTGCTATGTACGCTCCATTATCTTATCATTGACCTCGACAATCATTCATGTCTTGGTCAAACTTGTTTTTTACCCGAAGAGTCCCTTACCAACTTGTAAGCAATAAAATACTCTCTTACTTATTTTTTATTTCTCTACTTCATTAGTGTCAACAAAACGAAATGTTAGTGATATGGGTCGATGACCGGTGCCCGATGTGTTTCGCTTAATTTCGGCGCCGGTCGCACCGCTCCATCGCCTTAGGGTACTCTTATTAGTTTGTGCTTAGAGCCGCCACTGAGCATATTGTTATGTAAACAAAACACAAATAAAACGATGCTGCACGGTATAAGACTTTTGCCTATATTAGCATTAGTGAATCGTAACAAGAACTAATGTCAAACTCATTACTCAAATCTGAACTGGAAGACTGAAGTAAAAAGTTATGTACTAAATTCATTCAAATTTACTTTTAAAGATAATTATTATGTGCTAAAGTAAGGTTATTAAGCTACTTTAAAAAAATACTAACAGAATGGCTAAAGAAAGCGATATGTCGTTGTTTAGTGATGTATTGGAACCGTTTAGAAGAGTGATAAATACTGATCCGCCAAAAGACAAGTTATCGGCGTCTTCAAAATTAAATTTTTCTGAGAGCAATCAATCACTGAAAGAAGGTTATAGCCTTACAATTTTCTTTGAAGACTATTATCTATATATTTAATTTCGTTTATATAAGTGTAAGTGATTTATTATTTCAGATTTTTCTAACCTATTATCCAACAAGAGAAAGTCGACTCTTAGCTCGTCTGAATTATTAACACCAGAAAAACGTTCTCGTATAGAGCCGTCTGCAAATACGACAACGGCACCTCCATCACCATGGGAAGCAAAGAGGTTGAAAATAGATTTAATTGCAGCTAAAGCTCAGGTTATTTCAGTCTTATTATAGTTGTGAACAGTTGTTTGGTTAATATTCTGTAAAATAATCATCAATTTAAATTATTCTAAAAGGTCTTTTATGACGGCAGTTGATATTGGCTGCATTATTAGGTTGTAAAGATAAAAATTCACATCAACAGAAACAATGTTAAAGGTGTAAGTAAATAAAAAATAAAAAAAGAGGTGTAATTAAACTAGAGATGCCATGAATACTCGCTATTATTCGGTATTCAGCATTACTGGACATTTTTTGACATTCGAAATAGTTCTCTAAAATAAACTTTAATAAACAAAAAAAAAAATTACAAACTAAAAAATAATCAAACTTTAATTTTTCTTAAACAAGAAAACACACTTACACACGGTATTTAACTATTATCATTAATGTAAAAAATTTGCCAAAAAGAGTTGTTTATGTCATGAGTAGGGCTTTTTAATTCATATTTCATGTCCAAAAGTGGCAGACTATGGTGTAAAAAAACTAGTTTAGTTTCTACATGATTGGGATCAAGTTGGTTGTGCTTTTCTTCATAAATTTTCTACAAAAAATTTTTACACCACCAAAAATACTTTTTGCATTGTTTTCCTCAAAATAACTCTAAATATGGTATTTTTTCCCACGATTTGATACTTGACTAACTATTTCAAGAATATCTTTCTTAAGCACTTGTTCTCGTTACGAAAATTAAAGCATTGACAAACACCATGTCAAGCAAGCTCATCACGAATGACAAAGAAAACAAATGCGTGCCAATCTATATGGCAGTGGGAAATCTACAACATTAAAAGCTGGGTTATACAATATAAGGTTTTCCCTGTAAAATAGGTACAAGAAAAGGGTTGTCGAATATTAATCAGTATTCAACTATGTGCTACAACAACTATTTGCGGCATCTCTAGTGTGAACCTTAAATCATTGATTTCATTGTTTCACCTTTATGTTTTTTCATCACTTTACGTGGTTGAGCTATATGCATATGCTGTAGCATAGCTCAATAAGCATATGAAAATGAAAATGAAAATGAAAAAATGTTTATTTACAGCTAAGGTGGTACAGATCACAATATACAATATAAGACAATAAAATGGAAGCACAGTAGTCTTAATTCTCTAATATACAATTATTATAAACTATGATCTTATCACACCAACTAAGCTGGAGTGTATAAACAAGGGTGTATAGGTCTGTGGTCCTCACACTAGGCATGCCTGTGTCGTGAGGGCCTGATACGATTTTCTTATCACACGTGGCTTTCATTAATTGACACTGGGTCGACGTACGGTTATTACATTATGTAAGCTTTTTGTTTTTAAAATAAAATAAAATATAAAATGAAATAAATATTTATATTAAGTTAATATGTATAAAAACAAGTAATTACAGGTAAAATAATATTGTTAGTAAAGAAAATACTGTTATTCACAAATATTACAATAATTAATTAAACATATATGCATTAGAACTCCTATAGATACATATGCATATTACATACTGTATTCATATATTTTATTTACGTAAATATATGATAAAGATTACGGTTTAATTAGGTTTTCTGTACTATCGTAGCTCAGAGTTAGTAACCATTTTGTTATGGTTCTTTTAGCTTCCACCACTGATTTTTCTTTTATATCGCAATACTTGAGGACGGAGTTGTACACTTGAGTTCTCACGAATTGCCCAAAACGTTCAGAAAAAGCAGAGTTGATAGCGGGAGTTGGCAAGCGGAATACTCTTCGTTTCAACAATGTCTTATACTCTGGAGATGCCAGTGTACACTTATGAACAGTTAGGGAGGTCTTCAATATGAAAAGTTGTCTTACATTTAATAGTCCACTGTCCTTATATAAATCAAAAGTTGAATATCTATACGGCTTTTTTAACATTACTTTTATAACTGAACGTTGCGCTCTCTCAACTCTGATCAGGAAAGTTTTTGCTGCACTTCCCCAGCAAGTAATACAGTAAGTTATAAGCGACTGGCATTACGCAAAATACACAGATCTTAGAGTATTTAAGCCCGTTATGTCCCGCAAATGCTTTACAACACCAATAACCTTCCTGACTCGAGCCGAGAGAGCTATTATGTGATTTTCAAATGTCAGTTTATCATCAACGAGGACACCGAGATATTTAATTACATCGGATCTACTCAAGGTCTCACAGGCACACGATTTGCTTGTGCAAGAAGGCTCATGAATCTTTACCACTGTTTGTGCATCATATTATGCAGCATATTATGGTTGTAGTATGAATAGGTCAGCTCGACTGAAGAAGGTCCGCAATTTCACAGAATACCAGCATGAAATACCAGCTTAATGCTCCTGTGTTTCGTATGGTGAGTGTAGAGAACTGGATACTCTTTTTACTGTATACATTCCATCTGTGTCCTCAGGAGTGAGACACATTTGCATTTTAATTTTGAATGTAGTAAAAATGTAAATTTCTATGGGCCACATTATCCACTTACCATCAGGTGAACTGTGTTCTTGGTTGTTACCCTAATTCTATCAAAAAAATTATAATAACAATTTAATTTTTATTTCGTGATAAAGTGATAATTATAACAAAGGTAAATAGTGCACTTTGAATCAGTTAATATGTACAAGTATATGAGTGGTGGATATTGTTAATAATTTGTTGACTATGTAGGTTTGCCTTTATTGTAAAATGTGTAAATTGGGTATAAGCATAATTACAGGAGAAATGTTATAATTTTGACCACATTGACATAATTTAGTATATTAAGGCAAGCATTAGTGTCCTTATATAATCCATAATATTATGAATTTGTACTACCTTATGGTAAGTGGATATACAGCAGCCCATGGACACCTGAAGCCAACTTAAAACAAGAAGGCTTTATATGCATGGTCACCTCTTGGGACTAAGCAGGAATGCCTCACAACCTACCAGTCCTGCAATGCATTGCACAATATTTGTAAACACAATACTTTCTTGTCCAGTTTTATCTCCAATTTTTGGTCAAATGAGAATTTATGTTTTATTTAAATTTATGTTTCAACAGCATATTACAATGTACAAAGTCAATATGTCACTAATACAGATATTTTTCCAGGACATTATATATGATTATTGTTATATGTCTTTATTATATATATTTTTATTTATGTTTATTATAAATGTTTAAAGACATTTATTCTCATAAAGACATTTTATACGCCACTTACATGAGAACATAAATAAAAGTAAATCTAAATAACAAAATTCATTGTCGTACCTATGTTGTTGAAAAATAAATAACATCAAAAACAGCTATTGACGGGAAAAATCTATACATATAAAAGAAAAGTTAAATTCTAGTATATACTATCACCTTAGCACCACAATACTAAGACCAGGAACAAACCAGTCCAACTCACTCAGATAGATATGTTTGTGATTATATGATTCGCTAGTCGCTTTTTGAATACATTGAACGAGTCTACATTTTTTATTTCCGAGGGTATCTTATTAAAAGGGCGCGAACCTTCGCATGTAATTGTAGTGTGGCCGTACTTTGTTTGAGTTTTGGGCATAACAATAAAGCTTGCGCGTCGAGTGCAGATGCGTCCAACTTTTTTTCGCTTGGTGAATTGCAGATCCGTGCGGACCTTCTTGTTCATGGATTTGCGAATAAAGATACACGTGCTGTAGATGTATAATTGTTTGATATTCATCAGATTCGTCTCTCGGAAAATTTTTGAAGTTGACGTTCGGAAATTGTAGTTGAATAGCATTTTTATGATTTTATTTTGTAGGATTTGTAATTTGTTTAATCTAGTACTGGCAGCGCTTCCCCATATATATATTATATTATAATCTGATAAAGTAATGTAAACATTGAGTGGTATAAGAGAACCCATCGTCCCATCTTGTGTTGTAGGCGCCATAAGTTGTGACAATAGGAAAGGCAAGGAAGATCTTATGGGCTCCAAACAAGGCCACTAACCATCTAATATTTTTACTACATGTGAAATATGATAATGTGATATGGTACTACAATAGCCAATCTTCTACCACTGACTTATGGATCTGAGATGTAGTCTTTCACTGCTGGCCATATGAGGAAGCTCAGTGAGAGCTATACCCTAGGTTTATCTGCGTGATAAACTTATAAATGATCATATCTTCAGTAAAACCAGAGTAACCAACATATCTGAATTGGCAGCCATGTACTGGTAGACAATGTATAGGGCATCTCCCCACTAGATGGAGTGACGACCTGATAAGACATTCAGGATGTCTATGGATGCAGGTGGCTCAGGATCGTGTTTTGTGGGATTCTTCGGGGGAGATGTATCTTCAGCAGTACACTTTTTGTAGGGATTTAATAATGATAATGATGCATGAGATTCTGTTGCCATTTTTGCCAAGATGACACTTATTTTCTTTATTTGGTTTCTGTATTTGGTTTTGGTAACACCCATCATTTATATAACTTTCTCTAGCAGAAGCGAGTGATTTTGACAGACTGTAATGAATAATGAATTAATGAATGATGTAATAGTTTCATAATTTTGAATTACGAGGGCGGCACTGAAAATTTCGGGAATTAAGGAAGTGACACAACATTACTATTTAAAAATGTATTTATTGCTTTTCGAAGTATTCTCCATGAAATTTGACACATTTTTCCATACAATGGAGCCAATCATTGAAGCAACCATTCCATTCGGAAGTTGGGGTCTCCAAAATGGCCGTTTTGTAGGCGTACACATCTTCTTCAGGTGATGAAAATCTCTGTCCATGCAATTTATTCTTTATTTTAGGAAAAGTATAGAAATCATTAGGGCTTAGGTGGGGTGTACGGCGGAAGGTCTAATAATTCTATGTTTTCTTGCTCTAACAACTCTTTTGTTCTGTGTGCGGTGTGAGAACTGGCATTGTCGTGATGGAGGATGATGCGGCGGTTGCAGTTCTCTTTACGGAGTTCAGAAACAACCTCTGGCAAACAAATGCTAGCATAGTATTCTGCATTAACCGTTCTTTGTCCCTCAAGAGGAATAGTCGTAACATGGCCGGTTTTGGAGACAAACGTGGCCACCATTTTTTTTGCAACACTCCGTGAACGAACAATTTTTGTTGGCTTTAACTCATTTTCGAACACCCAAACTCGTGACTGGTTTTTTGTTTCAGGTTCGTACGCGGATATCCAGGATTTGTCACCTGATACGATTTAAGGATCCTGCGTGGAATCTTTCGAGAGTTCTGACGCACCAAGTAACGCGAGCCGCTTTTTGTTCTTCATAGAGCGAATGCGGTATTCATCGGGAAAACAACTTTTTACACCTAATTGTTCATGCAAGATTATTTGTATTTAACTCATGCCAATGTCTAAAGTTGCCTGAATTTCGCGGTATGTCACATGTCGATCTTCCTCAATCAGCTTACGCACAGCATCAACGTTTTCTTGGGTGACTGCAGTTTTTGGACGACCTTGACAGGGATGATCACTGAGCTTGACACGTCCACATTGAAATTCGGCAAACCAGCGATAAATTGTGGTGGAGTTTGGATGGGGCTTAATCACCAAATGCAGAAATCATCCGGTCAGCACACTGTTTTTGTGTTAAACCACTTCGAAAGTCATAATAAATCATCGCTCTTGAATTTTCTCAAGTCAATTCCATTTTCTCAACGACTAAACAAGTTTGACAAAACCTTGTGACAAGACCGAGAATCTTTTTTTAAATAAATAAATGGTATTCGATTTTTAAAACCAAGGAGTTTTCAATTAAAAAGATTATAATATGACAGGAACAGTGGAAATATTCCATTCCCGATACTTTTAGTGCAGCCAAGATATTTAATACTTTAAAAAATATTATGAGAAACTTATACTTTTTTCATTATCATTACTTTCTATCATTGTTCATTCACCAAAGAGACATAATTTGACTACAGAATACAAGTTTCTACTTATTACTTATTTAGAAATATGTATATTCTAGCTGTGCCACGCGGTTTTACTCGCGTATATCACGTGTCTGAGCCGCCCCGCTCATATAGTTCAATCATTTTAGCTAAATTAATGGAGTACTTTTATCTATCGGCATATGTATGTTATGGAACAGAGTTAAATTTTATCCACTCTCCCTAATCCCCCTCATGGGTAAGCGTCGTCGTACATAATAAATGACAAGTGTGTCCTTAATAAATCTATTGTACCCCTAATAAACTATGCGTCTAAATAACATGCTATGAAAGAGAAAAGTTTATCATCATAAAAATGTCTTGATGAAGTAACTTTTGTTCGTAAGGATTAATAAATTGTTGAAAATTAAAATCACTTAATTTTCAATAACTTTTTTTCACAAAATACCTTATTGCGACTTATGTATAAAAAATAGGCATATGGTATTGCCGACTTTTTTTAGGTGGAGGAAAGATCGATATTTTTGTAGAACATTGTCTTTACTTATCACTGACGAAAACGTCAGCGCACGCTTTTTCTTCTGACTTGCTTAACAAAAATCAATTTTTAAGGTTAGCTGAGAAATGCAGCCTAATGTTAGATAGCCTATACTATTCTTCATGAATCTGGTTATACAAAAACTAAATCTTCAAATCGGACTGGTAGTTTCAGAGATTAGCGTGTGTAAACAAACAAAAAAAAACTTACGCTTTATTATATTAGTATAGATTGTAATGTGATGTTTGTCTTATCTATGTTACAGATCACAAAGTTAGAGGCCAGAGTGAACCATCAGCATACAATTCGTAAGGAAATGCAAATTTTATTTGAAGAGGAAAAGGCTTCCCTTATAGATCAACATAAGAGGGATGAAAGAGCTCTCTCGGACATGGAGGAACGGCTTCAAGTTATTAGGAAAAGGGAACAGGAATTAAAAGATGAACATAGTGAGGTTAGATATCATATATATTTTTCATACACAAGTTTCTACGTATTTTAATAGGAACCTGTTTATTTTTGTCTTTATCATAGCTTTTAAATATACACTAAAAATGGCTTTGAAAATAGTTTTTCCCACTCATATCTAGTTGAATATCAATTGCTTACAGCTGGTCAAAGTCAGCCTGGTGACAATGCATCTGTATGTAGCCTTCTCTTTTCAAAGTTGATTGCAGGTGTCCATGGGCTGGACTAGCCATATTTACCATTTAGTGGAATGTAAGCTTGTTTGTTAATGTCTGTACATTTTATATTTTCGTTACAAAATTGATTGAGAGGGACTAAAAAGTCACTTAGACTGAATACATTTCTATCATTTTTAGAATGGTCTGTCTGTCTCTCGGTCTATCTGTCTGTTTGTTTGTTCACATATCATGTATAAAGTATTGATTTATATTTATTTATTTATTTATTTGCATAAAACATGGACAGATAAGGATGGTACAATTCTTAAAGCACAACATGTTTGCTATGTGATTGTGGTAGCATGCAAATTTACATAAATAGCACATATACAAATGAAATTTTCTAATCATAATACAAAACAATTCATTAAAAAATATATATCATTTACATTTAACAAATAGTTCTGTGATGTCATAAAATTGATTTTCATTGAGATAAGTCAATAATTTTTTTTAAATATATGTATTATTATTATTATTCGACTTGATTTCATTTGGTATTTTATTATAGATTCGAATACACATGGTTAAACAGCTTTTACTATATTTGTTGATCGCGGTACATCATCTAATACAAGTCTATTTGCATTTCTTTTTAGTCTTATATTCATATCACATGCCTTTGTAAACAGATTATTATGTTTATGTACGAAATTACAAACTTCGTAGATATACAGAGATGGTAGTGGCAACAAACCTAGGCTCCTAAATATTGGTTTGCAGGATTTATCCGGTGCGATTCCAGCAATAGCTCTAATGCATTTCTTTTACTCAGTAAATAATCTCTGTTTATCTGTACCATTGCCCCATATTACAACACCATAACGTAGTAAAGATTCTATGTAAGCGTGATACGTTAGAACAGCAGTTTTTTTGTCTGTAACATTTTTTACTTTATTAAGTGCATAAACAAATTGGTTAATTCTACTGCATAGTTGATGTATGTGACCTCTCCAGCTTAAATCTTGATCGATTATTACTCCTAGGAATTTAGTTTGTCTTACTTCGTTTAATTTGTCGATATTAAGATTAAAATTGTATTTTGTGTGTTTTGATTTATTAAATTGAATATAAGTTGATTTATTAAGATTAATTTTTAAATTGTTTTTGTCTAGCCATTTAATAATTGTATCAATTGTGTTGTTAATGTCGATTTCATGATTACGTATTGAATTATTTTGCTTCTTATTAGTGCTTACAATTATTGAAATATCGTCCGCGAATAAAATACATTTATGACTGGTGATTAGAGTTATATCATTTAAATAAAGAAGAAACAACATTGGACCCAGCACGCTACCTTGAGGAATGCCATATTTGTTCTCTTTATAAGAAGATGAGAAGGACAGCATTTCCTCTCCTACAATCTTTTTTATTACGACACATTGTCTACGGTTAGCTAAATAGGAAGATATCCATTTTAGTGGAAGCCCTCTGACACCGACCATTTCCAGTTTTCGTAATAGTATGCTGTGCGCAACGAGATCGAAGGCTTTCGATAAATCAAGAAATAATACTGTGGTTAAAAAATTGTTATTTATTTTTGTTAAGATTGAACTAATGAGCTTAAATATGGCTAATGTTGTAGATTTTTGTTTCTGAAAGCCATATTGGTCATTCTTTATTAAATTGAATTTCTTGCAAAAATCTAGTAATCTTTTGTACATACATTTTTCTAGTATTTTTGACAATATTGGTATTAATGTGATTGGACGATAATTGGTAATATCATTTCTCTTACCCTTTTTAAATAATGGCTTTACAATCGACGATTTTAATGTTTCTGGAAAAGTACCACATGAAAATGACAAGTTAATTAAATATGTTAAAATAGAGACTAATTCATTTACAGACTTCTTAATTATTTTCGTATTAATACCGTCATATCCTTCCGAGTTAGTGTTATTAAGAGATAGGATTTCTTTTTTAACCTCTTCTTCTGTCATGGGCTTAACAAACATTGAGTTAGGTAGTGATTTTTCAATACTAGTATAGCTGTTTGTTTTATTCATTATTGTCAAATTATTAGGGAAATCAGTAAAATAATTATTGAATATCGAAGCTATGTCAGTAGGATTTTTAATCAGTTCATTATTTATTTTTAAATCCGTAACGCCATGGTCGAAGTTTGAATTTGAGATTGCATTTTTTATCACAGACCATGTAGCTTTATATTTATTTTTGCTTTTGTGTATGAATTTTATAGTAGAATTTCTTTTCGATCTTTGAATACATTTTTTCAAAATCTTTGAATATGTGATGTAACTTTTCTTATTTAATTCTGATTTATTCTTGTAGTATTTATATCGGAGTAATCTTTTAGTTTTACAACTTCTTTTTAAACCTCGACTTATCCAATTGTTTGTAGTATTATTAACATTTATTAAAATTGCTTCATCCTATCAAATGTTATGATTAATATTCTATTTTAATCATAACATTTGATAGGATGAAGCAATTTTATATATTCTTTTGTAATTAAATAATGTAAAATAGTGTTCTATAATGATATAATTGTATCTAAAGGCAGTAAACAAAAATAATAAAGAATAGCATAATAAATATTTATAAAAAATATATAAATCCTAATATCTTAGTTACAAAAGTACAATAGTTAACTAATGTCATCGATGGATGGTGTTGTGCAAATTATTTATTAAATTTTAAGGTGTTCTTATAATTTTTTTCTTAACCGTCGATTACATACAACAAGGTAAATCAAATTTTGAAAGAGCTATTAACAAATTTTTTGGTTTTGGCAAGGATCCTATCAATCATATAGAAGCTTGGCAGTTAACATATTATACTTCCCTTTTGCACTACCAAAAGTTTTAAAATTTACATTGTCGTGAAATTGAAAAATTACGTTACCTGATTTTAAGTTTTTTTGTATTATTCCTACCCGTTTTTTTTCTAAATATCATATTATTTTTATTTTACTGTAATAATAAATTAACCACCAAGCACCAAAAGGTTTCATTATAAACGAGATATGAAGGACACATAATATGTAAATAATTACTTTACTTGCTGCTTTCAACGCAAAGTTTGTATTGGATCAGCAAATATGTTTCTTCCTTTTATCCAATAACCATTACAGCATTTTAAATTCTACTGCTGAACATAGGCCTCCCCATTGATTGCTTCATATTTGGCATCATTAATTTATATAACTCAATGTTTGGCATAGTTTCCACAACCTATCACGCACGCTTTACCCAATTACAAAACCGAAGAAGCGGGTTATATATTATAATGTACAGTCAATATAATATGGTCCATGGCTGAGTATATGCATTCAATGAAATATATATATATATATATATATATATATATATATATATATATATATATATATATATATATATATATATATAAAGGATATCATTGTAGGCATTCTTGTGCTCCTTGGAGTCCATAGTGCCATCCTGACGCATTTATTCTCTAGTTTAAAATTTGGAATTAGTAATAAAGTGCATATTATTAATTTATGTTTGTTTTTATTAGTTTGGTTAATAGGTACTACAAATTAGACAAAATTCTTATTTTATATCAGAAGTTTTTTTTTAATTTCTTTTGCAAGTAGCATTTATAAAATTTAATTTACATTGGACATAGTTAAAAGGAACAGAATAAAATTTAATTTGTCGTAAAATTAGTTTTGCCATTTACCGACAGATATCAACTGTTCACTGAGTATCTACTAAAATATACTCTATATACTGAGTCATAGATACTAAACTACACTGAGTGACTACCTAAACAGCTTGAAGTAGAAATCTAAAGTTTGGACCTACCTTTTATGACGTAGAAATTCGCTATGAAAACATTTTGGAAATTTCGGTCCCTGAGAGTGTGAAATAAGGGTGTTACAGTTTATTATTTTATTACAAAAATATTTTACAGGATGATTGACTCGATACTTACTGAGTGTACTGTATTTAAAAAATAAATAAATACGTATTTTGCGATTTCAAAATAACCCGTTACGGTAGAAGGGATATGCAAGGGCATGCAATTTTGTATGGAAATAAAAAATCATGGTATTTCTTAAAACAACCTCTTACCGGGGGAGGGAGAAGGAGGTAGATAATATTTAATTTGAAGGGAGAAAAAATATTTAATGCTTTAAAGTAATTAAATAATAACATTTGCCTCTTACGGTTTTAAAACAAGGGTTTAAATTTTGTATGAAAAGTACTGTATTAAATCTACAGCTCAAACCGCTGGAAGTAGATGCGTGAAATTGGAACAATAACTTCTTTTATTAAGTAGGTAGACATCCACTAAGAAAGAAGTCTTGAAAAATTAAAAGAAAGAAAATAGATCGTAAATAAGGTTTTAAGAATGTTTTTTACGGGGTGATTTCATATTGGTATAGAGAAAAATGATGAAATGATTATTGTCACTTTAAAATTAGTACGAATAATTTAGGATTAAAACGTAGACAGAGAAACCTATAGACTATTGATCGGCGTGGCCTCGAGTGAGAAAAGACGATAACGAATTTTTAGGTTATACAATAATTTTTATGACTTTTAAACACATTTAGATAAAAATTTTAATTGTTCTAAGAACTGAACTGAACAAGATTCACCAATCTTAAGGTCACAGAACTCTTTTTTCTCACTGAAACCAACTTGTAAACTCCTTAAATCGCTACGCTGTTGAAGTTGTTTAGCAAACTCTACAGTTTGCTAAACAAAAAAACCGGCACGGAGAAAGGGACAAATAATCACACCGCTCTATCTCATTTCTATGCAAGACGTATGCATAAATCTATCTTTTTCGTGTGCGAATGCGAAAGAAGGCGTCAATTTGTCTATAGGTTTCTCTGTCTACGGATTAAAATAATGCAATTAGTTTTTTTTTTCATTTTTCTAATGTATCACCTTAAAGTGTTAAAACTAGGATACATGGTTAACGCGGAAAAAAAGGGTTTTCATTTGTGGTGGGGAAATCCGTAAAACGAAATTATGATAATTACGAATAATACTTATTCACTTATATACTTTATATATAAAATATAAAAAATTGTCTATTTATCGTTGTGTCCGAATTAGTAATCCGACAAATAATATAGTGAGATCAGATACAGATAAAACGGCTTTACGTGCTTTCTGAGACATAGGGATGAAACACTGCAAAAACCCTTGACTCCGGGCTGCTACTGAGAATTTCTGGATAGAAAACCCAACTGATTTTAAGTCCGATGACACCTATTACTTAAAGGTCAAAAACCTTCCTAGGTTGATTTTAGTTTTATTTTTTATTTGTTTGCAGGATGAGACCAAATATAGATACTTACGCAATTTCATTATTTTGTTAGTGTAGGTACTTTTGTTTTGTTTTAGGTAGACATTGGATTGTAGTTTTCGTTTCAATTTTTTTAATCAATATCAATAATTAGTGATGGTGCTTATTTATTTAGGGCAATATCTTATTTGTTGAATGGAAACCATGTATTGGCTATAGAAATTCGGAAGCAAATTAGGGATTACGTTATTGCGGTCATTTTGTTGCTTATTTACAAAATAAAACATAAGCGTACACAGTTCGCCCTATTTGTTTCTTGGTTTGTTTGTGGTTCGTTTATTTGTTTGTCTTATTGACCGACTAACTGAATGTTTTTATTTAGATTAGTGTCTTTCTAAGTTTTCGCGACAGTTTAATTTACAAATAAATCATCATCACATGGAATAGCAAAAGTACTGATTCCACGCGAACGAAGTCGCGGGCACAACTAGTTACAAATAAATCCTGACTTATTTGGTTTAAGTTCTTTTCTGCCTCTGATTCCTTTGAGATTTGGTATCATTCCCTTACCTATTTCTGCTGCTGCTCGGTAATCAAAAGTAGTAGTAAGTAGTCATTATTTTATTCTGGTTTGATTATAAAATAAATAGAAACTAGAATAAAATAGTGTCTGTTTCATAGTTAAAATGTATATATCTTAAAAAGAATGGTATATTACTTTTAGGCTTTAAAAGAATTTCAGGAGAGTAAATCCAAATGGGAGAAAGATAAAGCAGATTTCCAGAAACAAATAGCTGATCTCAAAGATAAACTGCTCGAAGCTAATGTAAGCAGTAAGGACCAGATCTCCGAGATGAAAAAAGATATGGATGAGCTTTTGCAGGTATATAGAATGTGATACAAATTGCTATTTCTTAGAGCTGCAATAAATATAAATTGGACTATTCTAAATAGAAATTTTTTATTTTCTCTTGTAGTGTTGGAGATTTGGGCGTGACCTATTATGTATTCATTTGTAGTTAATATGTTAATTAACCCTTCTTTTTTTTATAACCAGGCTTTAGAAGGCGCACAATCTGAAGTAGAGATGTTAAAGAAAGAAGTGGCTAAGCAGACAAACCGTGCAGAACAGTGCACATCATTAAGAACACAATTGGAAAAACAAACCTTTGAGCTTCAAGAAGTTACAAATAAACTTAAGGAGTTAGAGTATGAAAGAGATTCTTACAAAGATTGGCAGCAACAAGCAAAGGTTTATTACTTTATTACCCAAATTTTTAAAGATTATTGGCACACTTGATTGGAACAAACATTTTATTTCTACAGACTGCACAAAAACGTCTTAGCAACATGGCGGAATTAGAAAAGGAGGTGATAAGACTGAGAGCTTCAGAAAGGTGCTTGCGTGACGCTGTTTGTAATAAGTTACTTCTAGAAGAACAGGTGCATTTATTAACTACTAGAGTTGAGGCTTTGCAGCCAGTTCAACAGGAGTTGCATGAAGCCAAGGTAATTATCTTAAAAGAGCCATTATTATCTATAACATATTCATCCGAATATATCAATAACACTTCTGTTAAAGTAGGGCTATGGTATATGTGGTATTTCTCATTTATACATTCTAAATAACGAGATAATAATATTTATGAGTAAAATGACATACAAATAGTTTTTTTTTCCGAGCATAGAACTCGCAATCTAGTATGCTGTAGCCAAAAATTTAGTTACTGTGCTACTAAGCCATTCAAGAAACCTAATTAAAATTTAAAAGCTTAGTAATAAAATAATTATTCGACATTTTCTTCATTTCCGGTTATTAAAAATCCAATTAGGTCGAAAAACATAGAAATAATACATAAACATTTTTAACACAGGTTAAAATGGCGTCACTAGAGTCATCTTTAGAGGAGTGGAAGAATGCAGCCAGAGCACACGGAGTGGATTCTGCTAGAGCTTTGTCCTCCGTCTTGGAGTCAGCTCTAAGTAATCAACTTACTGCAGTGGCTAGTCATTCAGAGGCTCAGTCGCAAATGGCACAACTCACTGAGGTATTTTTTTAATTTACAGTGGGGTCGTAATAAAGACAAAGGGTTTGGTTTCTATATATACTGATTGATTTCATTTTAACCATGTACTGGCACCATAGAATACTATAATACACACTAGAATGGCTGTCAACCTTATTTTGTATGAGTATCGGTGTCGCCGGGAGCACACATACTTCGCAATTATGTCGCATTATCACTACTACAAACCCGATTCGCTGTGTACACATTTTAGACTTTTGATTAATGTTTTGACACATCAATATTTCTTTATTTTTGTTTCTAATATTCACAAAATATAAGTAGTTTCGACTTACTGGTGGTAGGATATTATGTCTCCTTTATTTAAATTCCATTTCCAGCTGTTCTTTCGACACGTAATTATTGCACAATTTGCCATTTTTTTAATAATTTGCATAAAGCGACGCTTGACACGAAAATTGGAAACGATTGATTGTGTTGACGTTTACCTAGACTGCACTAAAAGTATCGGGAATGGAATATTTCCACTGTACCTGTCATATTAAAATCTTTTTAATTGAAAACTCCTTGGTTTTAAAAATCGAATACCATTTATTTATTTAAAAAAAGATTCTCGGTCGTGTCACAAGGTTTTGTCAAACTTGTTTAGTCGTTGAGAAAATGGAATTGCCTCGAGAAAATTCAAGAGCGATGATTTATTATGACTTTCGAAGTGGTTTAACACAAAACAGTGTGTTGACAGGATGATTTCTGCATTTGGTGATTAAGCTCCATCCAAAACCACAATTTATCGTTGGTTTGCTGAATTTCAACGTGGACGTGTCAAGCTCAGTGATGATCCCTGTCAAGGTCGTCCAAAACCTGCAGTCACCCAAGAAAACGTTGATGCTGTGCGTAAGCTGATTGAGGAAGATCGACATGTGACATACCGTGAAATTCAGGCAACTTTAGACATTGGCATGAGTTAAATACAAATAATCTTGCATTAACAATTAGGTGTAAAAAAGTTGTTTTCCCGATGGATACCGCATTCGCTCTGTGAAGAACAAAAAGCGGCTCGCGTTACTTGGTGCGTCAGAACTCTCGAAAGATTCCACGCAGGATCCTCAAATGCTGTATACAACATCGTATCAGGTGACGAAATCCTGGATATACGCGTACGAACCTGAAACAAAAAACCAGTCACGAGTTTGGGTGTTCGAAAATGAGTTAAAGCCAACAAAAATTGTTCGTTCACGTAGTGTTGCAAAAAAAAATGGTGGCCACATTTGTCTCCAAACCGGCCATGTTACGACTATTCCTCTTGAGGGACAAAGAACGGTTAATGCAGAATGCTATGCTAGCATTTGTTTGCCACAGGTCGTTTCTGAACTCCGTAAAGAGAACTGCAACCGCCGCATCATCCTCCATCACGACAATGCGGGTTCTCACACCGCACACAGAACAAAAGAGTTTTTAGAACAAGAAAACATAGAATTATTAGACCATCCGCCGTACAGCCCCGACCTAAGCCATAATGATTTCTATACTTCCCTAAAATAAAGAATAAATTGCGTGGACAGAGATTTTCATCACCTGAAGAAGCTGTGTACGCCTACAAAACGGCCATTTTGGAGACCCCAACTTCCGAATGGAATAGTTGCTTCAATTATTGGTTCAATCGTATGGAAAAATGTCTCAAATTTCGCGGAGAATACTTCGAAAAGCAATAAATACATTTTTAAATAGTAATGTTTTGTCACTTCCTTGATTCCCGTAATTTTCAGTGCCGCCCTCGTATAGGTGTGAATCGACATGTTAGTGGCTACGCGGGCTCCGCCCACTCCCCCTTTTTATTATGTATGTATTATAGTATTCTATGACTAGTACATTTAAAAAGCCAATAAAAGTCGAATCTGATCTTCAAAAAATATCATATTAATACATCAATTGCTATTATAAACTGTTTTTAACTATATTAGTTACAGCCTAATCCATTTGGATTTTAGATTTAGTTACAAATATCAGTAATTTACCAATTTAAATGCAATGCAAATACATTACTATAGGAAATAGCAACAGTGAAGTATGAACGCGATAAGGTTACGGCAAAGCTGAACGACCTTCAGGCAGTACGTAAGAACCAGGAGAGCCTCATACACAGATTGCAGAAGCGATTGTTGCTTGTTACCAGGGAGAGAGACAGTTACAGGTATAACCCGACTTTTTACTAATCAGATGCTCAGTGTAATATGTAATTGTATATAATTGTCTGTCATGTAATGTTACATTTGCGAAATTTATCAAAGCCTCAGTATTAATGTTAGGTATATATACTTTTCCCCCGCCGGCACCAATGAAATTGTTAATTGCAATTTTAAGTACTGATTTACCACGTGCTCGCCGGTGAAGGAAAACATCGTGAGGAAACCTGCATGTCTGAGAAATAAGAAAAAAATATTTCGAAGACATGTGAAGTTCGCCAACACGCACTGGGGCAGCGCGGCGGACATTTCCTTGCCCTAAAACCCTCTCAGAAATGAGAGGAGGCTTGTGCCCAGCAGTGGGACGTATATAGGCTGTAACTTTACTTTATATAAACTTTTTAACAGATCTAGTCAACAAACATTAAAAAAAAAATACTTTTTGTGCTAATAATGTTTTCGTATCGTTCTAATAAAATTGATTAAGAAACCTTAACTGACTTAATGTAACTAGAATTACTTTAATATTCTGATAGAGAGATATCTCCTTCGTCGCCAGATCTCTTGAAGCGGAAAATAAATATTTCATGCCTTTAATTTAGCATAACTGCTATTTTTGCTTAAGCTATATTTTACTCGTACTTTGACGACTGCTTTGCGTTGAATTTAGTTGGTAACATAAATAAAATTATTTTTTTGACCTGGGGTGTATGGTTGTTGAAGTAAATAGTTTAACAAAAAAGCGGTAGCAAATGGAGAGAACTAATTAATAATTTTCCACGTAAAGTGTTACTGTGCCATTACAGCCTAGGGAATATTTGCCATAGTTGCTACGCCTGGCAACCGCAGTTTCTTATTTTTAGTCGTTATTAAAAAGACGCTGCTGCCCATCTACTGATTTGTTTCCCTCCGTTACCTCTACGATAGCCACGGGATGACATAATGTAGTGGTTTCTCTCCGTTACCTCTTACGATAGCCACGGGATGACATAATGTAGTGGTTTCCCTCCGTTACCTCTTACGATAGCCACGGGATGACATAATGTAGTGGTTTCTCTCCGTTACCTCTTACGATAGCCACGGGATGACATAATGTAGTGGTTTCCCTCCGTTACCTCTTACGATAGCCACGGGATGACATAATGTAGTGGTTTCCCTCCGTTACCTCTTACGATAGCCACGGGATGACATAATGTAGTGGTTTCTCTCCGTTACCTCTTACGATAGCCACGGGATGACATAATGTAGTGGTTTCTCTCCGTTACCTCTTACGATAGCCACGGGATGACATAATGTAGTGGTTTCTCTCCGTTACCTCTTACGATAGCCACGGGATGACATAATGTAGTGGTTTCCCTCCGTTACCTCTTACGATAGCCACGGGATGACATAATGTAGTGGTTTCCCTCCGCTACCTCTTACGATAGCCACGGGATGACATAATGTAGTGGTTTCCCTCCGTTACCTCTTACGATAGCCACGGGATGACATAATGTAGTGGTTTCCCTCCGTTACCTCTTACGATAGCCACGGGATGACATAATGTAGTGGTTTCCCTCCGTTACCTCTTACGATAGCCACGGGATGACATAATGTAGTGGTTTCCCTCCGTTACCTCTTACGATAGCCACGGGATGACATAATGTAGTGGTTTCCCTCCGTTACCCCTTACGATAGCCACGGGATGACATAATGTAGTGGTTTCCCTCCGTTACCTCTTACGATAGCCACGGGATGACATAATGTAGTGGTTTCCCTCCGTTACCTCTTACGATAGCCACGGGATGACATAATGTAGTGGTTATCCTTTCACCGCCACTAAACGTAAATTTTCGTCTACATTAAATATCAAATACGAATTTATGATAATTATATATATATATATATATATATATATATATATATATATATAAGCGTATTATCACTTTTTTATGCTTGACAAAGGTAGAATTCGCTACCTTCAGCACACTTTATGACGTCATCATTAATAAAACTTTTGAATGGAAGTTAAGAATAGTTAAATGGAATTAGCGGGATACAACAAGTGCACCGTGCCACGCCAGAGCCGTGACTGCCTGCTCCGCTTTTTTTTTGCGCCCGAAGCAAATATGGGCAACCCTCCGGAAAGCGGGGGAGGGAGGCGGTGAATGCTCATAGCATACCACGCAGCCGGCTGCATGGTTATGTGGATACTTTTACCCACTAAACACCGCCTTTATGCATTGGCTTACCCATCTGACGAGAGATCTCTAAGCCGTATACGAACGCGACCGTCCTCGCCATCCTGCTCCGCCGCTACGCGGTCTTTTTATACACGTTGTTGCAAAACAGACAGAAACGCCGGGCGGCGCGATCGGTGCACGTGTTCTTTACAATTTTGCTGTACCGAAGTACGACGGCGCCGTCGTCATGCCGTCATATATAAATAGCCATTTTAAGGCAAAAATATTATAACGACAATTAGAAAAATTTCCATATAGAATTCAAAATAGTTGGCCTAAACATTAATCCATAATACCTAATTAAGTTAGGATTAACCTTCTTCTTCTATTGATATTAAATTTAATTTGTTTTAGACAACAACTGGACTGTTATGAGAAAGAATTGACTGTAACACTGTGTGGAGAAAGTGGTGCGGGCAGTGCTGCTCTATTGTCGGCCAGGGTGGAGCAGCTCGAGAAGGCTTTACAAGGTTATCGTGATCTTCTGGCAGCACACGATCAGGAGGCTCATGCTAAAAGTAAATAACAATTTCATTCATTGTTTTAAGTGTGGTAGAGAGAGTATTGAAAATTTATCTTTCAATAAAAAGTAAAAGTAGACATTTTCTTTGTTAAAAGTAATATTTTCATATAAGAATATTGATTTAACGAGTTATCAACCTGCTGAAATAATCCTTTTCAAAAGAAATAAAACCAGGATGCATTATGCTACTAATTGCAATTTTAGGAATCATGACAAATAATTGTTATACAAATTATTACACAAAATTTCAATAACTAAGAGATACAGCAAACTGTAGACTTTATATCTGGCGAGAGATTAGTCGGGTTAGACTGCTAGTGCGTACAATGGGTCAATTAAACAGTTGGTTTATTGGTGAGTGTGCACACTAGCTAATAGTTGGTCGAACGTTTTCTATAAAAATGTAGTTAATAAGCAGATCATGAATAGAAGTAGTATTTTTCTTTAAATTTACATCAGAGTAGCTGTTATCTATCAGAGTAGTTTTGAAGTGCAGGTCGTTTTTCAACTACTTCTATCAACTGTAAAATAGATGATTCGATTTTGATGCTTGCGCACGTCTTTTCCGCTCCAAAATTCTGAACTGAGAATTGATGTTATCGACTGAGTCGGCCTACTAAACAATTTGTGTGTATGTGCGTATTAGATTAATTAAAATATAGAGGCACTTTACTACTGGTTCGAAAAAAACCCTCTGTTCTGGGAAGAATCAGCAAAAACCCGGCGGGACATTTCTTTTGAATAAAGTTAATTAACAATATGTTATTTTATACAATTATTGAAAACACAGACAACAACATGGCATCGACATATAAAATATATAGTAAATAATAAAATACATAAGTTACTTAGCCTTAGAGCTTTTCGGCTTCTTACAGCGGACTAGCAGCGTTACCCATTTTCACTTGTTTACTTATTGGCGGTTATAAGAAAACTAACCGATATGTTTTTTTTTGCGCCCGAAGCAATTAACGGCAACCCTTTGGTAACGGTGGTGAATGCTCATAGCATACCACGCAGCCGGCTGCGTGGTTATATGGATACTTTTACCCACTAAACACCAACTTTTGGGATTGGCTTAAAGATCTAGCGAGAGATCTTTAAGCCGTAAACGAACGCGACCCTCCTTGGCTGAAAGGAGGGCGCAAGCGGCGAGTAGCTGCTTAGAAGTGTGCGTCAGCAAAATTTCACAGTGTAGTAAATGGTTGCGAAACGTTTTACATTGACAGCGGTGGAGGGGTTGCGTGCGGAGGCGAGCAGATGGCGGGAGGAGGCGGAGACGGCGCGGCGCGAGACGAGCAAGCTGCGCGCGCAGCGGGACCAGCTGCAGGCGCACCTCGAGCGCCTCGCCGCGCCGCACCGCGCCGCCAAGGTAATTGTGTGTAGTGAGTAGATGTAGAGACGAGCAAGCTGCGCGCGCAGCGGGACCAGCTGCAGGCGCACCTCGAGCGCCTCGCCGCGCCGCACAGCGCCGCCAAGGTAATTGTGTGTAGTGAGTAGATGTAGAGACGAGCAAGCTGCGCGCGCAGCGGGACCAGCTGCAGGCGCACCTCGAGCGCCTCGCCGCGCCGCCAAGGTAATTGTGTGCAGTGAGTAGATGTAGAGAGGAGCAAGCTGCGCGCGCAGCGGGACCAGCTGCAGGCTCACCTCGAGCGCCTCGCCGCGCCGCACCGCGCCGCCAAGGTAATTGTGTTCAGTGAGTATATGTAGAGACGAGCAGCGGCGCGGGACCAGCTGCAGGCTCACCTCGAGCGCGTAGAGAGGCGCGGGACCAGCTCAGGCTCCCTCCCCTCGCCGCGCCGCACCGCGCCGCCAAGGTAATTGTGTTCAGTGAGTATATGTAGAGACGAGCAAGCTGCGCGCGCAGCGGGACCAGCTGCAGGCTCACCTCGAGCGCCTCGCGCGCCGCACCGCGCCGCCAAGGTAATTGTGTTCAGTGAGAAGAGCCAAGCTGCGCGCGCAGCGGGACCAGCTGCAGGCTCACCTCGAGCACCTCGCCGCGCCGCACCACGCCGCCAAGGTAATTTTGTGTAATACGAGGGCTTAGGTGGAATGCCTCGAACACCATACGAAACACAGCAGCATTAAGCTACTATTTGACGCTGGTATTCTGTGAGAGCGTGGTCCCTCCCCGGTCGAGTCCACCCATTCGTGCTACAACTATACTACAGGGTGTCTCATTACGACCCAACTACTTTATTTGGAAAAAAAAATACGTTAAACTTATTTTTGTATGAATTTATTTGTATGAATTAAAAGATAAGGAACAAAATTTTACTTTTTAAACACGACGTTCTTTAAATGATGACCACCACGTTGACGGTATTCCTCAAACCGTTTGCGTACACTTTCAAAAACTTTTTGAAGAAGTGGTCGAGGAATACTCCTGATTTTTCTTCAATATTGTTTCTTAAATCTGTCAAATTTCGTGGATTATTCTCGTAGACTATGCTCTTAAGATAACCTCACAAGAAAAAATCAGGTGGGGTTAAGTCAGGGCTCCGAGGTGGCCATTCAATATCACCTCTTCGTGAAATCACCTTTTCTCGGAAAAACTCGTGCAATGCAGCTAAAGAGTTGTTAGTGGTGTGCAATGTGGCCCCATCCTGTTGAAACCATGTCAACCGGTTATAATGCTCACATTGTTGCAGTTGAGGCCCGAAAAAATTGCGTATCATGTCGACATAGCGTGCAGAAGTTACAGTCACTGCATGTCCTCTGTTATCTTCGTAAAAGTACGGCACAATAATGCAGTTCGCTGACATAGCGACCCACACGGTCGTTTTGGGCTATGCAACTGGCGCTTATGTAATGTCTGTGGATTCGTTTCTCCCTAAAAATGACAATTTTCACGATTGACGTATCCGTCCAAATGACGACGAAAATGTGCCTCATCGCTACAGAACATGTCGTTGAAATTGTTAAATCTCTTTAACATCTCTTTAAAAAAATTAAATCTTGTAACGTAATCATTTTCATGAAGAGCTTGCACAGTCTGAATTTTATAGGCCTTTAGGTGTAAATCAGATCGCATTATGCGGTGAAATGTCGCTCTTGATAATCGCAGCTGAGACTCACGCTTTCTAACGCCGAGTCGAGGTTGTCGGCTTATAGAATCTGCAACTGACTGAATGTTTCCAGGCGTTCTTGCTGTCCTTGGACGGCCGTCGACGGATTTTGCCAATAGTGTTTCCAGTAGTATTTGAATGTCTGGATCCAAGCTAAAATTTTTGCGTTGCTTGGAGTTTCCACAATGTTGCGCAGTCGATAATGTAACCGATACATCCGTCGAACTCGAATGAGTGATCGATTGTTCTCGAAATACGCGCGCACGCAAAACGAGCGTTGCTCTCCCGTGTACGGCATGATGGCAACTAAAAATTTAAGGAACGCTCCAGTAAAAGACGCCCGTGCCACCGCTCCTCCGCGCCTTGTTTGCTTCTCGCTCACTCTTGAAATAGTTGGATCGTTTTGAGACACCTTGTACTAATATAACTACAGCATGGCTCTACCGCGTAAAAAAGACGTAATTTACTGTTTATAAATAAATAACTTATTCTAATCTGGTTTACTTTTTGTTACTCGTCGACCAATATTCTACCAGGAATAAGATAACATTGACTTAAAAAGATGAGTAATATTATATTGTTACATTTTATTGTTACTTTTTTCCGAACGCAACCCAATAGAAAGAATTATCTATGATCTAGATTATCTTTCTGATGACCTGCGATCTAAATATATAATAGTTATGGGTGTATCATTTTTATCAACTGCTTTATTGTTAGTGTCTTGAGCATCACTTTTGCGGTTACTGTACAGAAAACGATGCTGACTTTAGTATTTTTTATTTGAAATAATTTGTAAGTTTAGTGCCGCTGAAAACTGTTCCAAACATGAATAGCCGTTACCAATGAATTTTATACCTATGCTATGGCACAACTATTTACAGCGAAACGTAAATTTATCATCTGCATAAAATTCTAAATAATACGTTTACACAAGAAGATTTTGAGATCATTCCATCTTGTTTTTTCGCTAAAACTGTTTTTACGAATTTTATCGCGTTTAATTTATTTTATTTTAAATTCCCGACGTTTCGGGTGCTTTCCCGCATCCATGGTTACGGGGGACTAACTGAGATGACCTGAAACGTCGGGAATTAAAAATAAAACAAATTAAACGCGATAAAACCCGTAAAATTAGTTTTAATAAATGTGTAGTATTCACGTAAATATAAGAAATCATTAGCACAAACTAGCTTTAGTGGTTAGCAAAAAGCTCTGAGCATGTTTTAAAATTGATTTCATTATTCTGTACTTCGCCATAACTAGGAAATATTTTTTCACCTTCCTGGTTGTTATCGCGTGCAAAATTAGACTTGTTGTTATCTCTTGTTTATGAATAGTTTCTTCCGTATGTCAAATTTTTGTTATAATTGGTTATATTGCAAATCATCTGTGTTATTAATATTGAGTGAATAAGCATGTATCAGGCGAGTTACTTCAAATACTTGTTTTGATCAAAGTGTGTAAACGACACTATATTCAACGACAGATGTTATAGAATTGTGTGGATTTTGGGGCAATGATATGACCTAGTACAATAAAATATAATGTTCGATTACCGAAGTTGCTACTTCTACGACTTAATAATGTTCCAATTACACAAAAACCCAAATAAACTAAAAATGATGAATTCAGTGCCATCTCGCGGGAAAATGGCTGAGAGAAGACCGTGTGTTTCACCTTAAAGAAATATGATTAAAGCCAAGATAGAGAGAAATAATATGTCCATTTAAAATATTATCTATGGACGCTATATGATGAAGATAATTAGTAAATAAATATAAAAAAGCAGCAACGTGACGAACGTCAATGCTTGTACTGGGAAGTCAATGACAAAATAGGAGTATTAATTTGTTTCGTTCCACGGAAACCTTGTCGTTTAAAAAATATTTCTAAGTTTCGAATTCAGTTTTTTTTGTCCATTCCAGGTGCTCCATCTCACTGATAATCCAGCAGCTGCAGCGCATAAAGAAATGCAAGTAGATTTAGAGGCTGCACAGGAAGAGGTAATATCATAAATATTCGTATAAAGTTGACTCGCGGTAATCCGAAAAACATTTTGCAAAGCGATGTTGGATTATCACATTTGTCGGGCTGCGTACTGCCACAGCCTAGTCTGGACCTTTTCGAAAAAGAGTACCTTGTAATCCGACAAATTACAAATCAAATATAAAATTAAAAAAGTCATGTGACGCACAATGAATGATGTATATGGATGAAAATAAATGATGTATGCCCGCTGGGCCGCAACCATAGTTTTATTTAAACTGTCTCGTTGGTCTAGTGGTTGTAGTAGTGCGACTGCTGATCATGGGGTTCTCTGTTCGAATCCCGGGTCGGGCCAAAAATTAATTATTGCGTTTTTCCGTGAAGAAATTCTTAGTAGTTGCCCGGAGTCAGGAAGTTGGCGGTGTCTCACCCCCGTGCTTCGGAAAGCACGTAAAGCCGTTGGTCCTGCGCCTAATCTCTCCGGTCGTGTCGGTTATTACCGTCCCATCCGGATTATGAGAGTGAGGGAATAGAGAGTGCACCTGTGCTTGCGCTTACACTTGGGCACTATAATCCTGTCCTGCGCCGATGGTTAGCCTCCGTTGAGGCAGGCCGCCGTGGTCGAAATTTGGTCTGGATGACATTATTTTTATTATTATTATTTAAACTGAGACAAAAAAAATAAAAAAAAAAACAAAACAATGGCCTAACCTAACCTATTTGTCCACTATTCGCGAAGGGCACCTCCCCCCTCGATTGTGCCGACATGTTATAGGCGTGTCAGATTACAAAATCTGCACCCCTTTGTAGGAGCTGGATTACCGGGGGTCCATTGCATTGTAGTCACATTGAACGCATGTTCTTATTTTTTATTTTTCTGATGGTACCTGTTGATGCAGCCGAAGATGTTAAAGCGCACTGACCTAACTTGACAAAAACCTATTTACGATTGCTTTGAAGACAGCCACATTGTAATCAGATGGACGGGTGCTGGAAATTTATTCTACTCCTTTGCTGTATGTTAAATTATTACATCGTTAGCTTTTGTTATAAGCCATTGTAACATGATATGAATATCCTCAGATAAAAAGGCTAAAAGCCGCTCTTCGGGATGGTGGTATGGCTGTCTGTCCAGAAGAAATGCAACAAATGAAACAGCAGTTGGAGAATAGTAGAATAAAATTAAAGAGGTTTTTTTTTAATTTTTTTTCTGTTTGCATTTTAAGAAGTTTTATTATATTAATATGTTATTTTTTATTCATGAGTAAGGGTTTTTGTAAAACATTGAACTTTTTTTATTATCGTCGTGATTTTTTTTTACTTTTGTATTAAAATTGACTGAATATCTTTTATTCCAGAATGAAGGAGGAGTTCACGTCGTCCGCTCAGGAGTATAGAGACGTCGTTTATATGCTTTTAGGTTATAAAATTGATAGGACTGGACACAAGAATTACAGGTAAAACTTGTTAAATACTTTTTTAATACCTTAAAGACAATAATATAGGAAAACACTATGTTCTCCTCACTAGTTTCATTTATATAAACATAGGAAAATAAACCCCTTAGTAATATATAGAATATAAATTTAACCTGAGCTGAACACAGATTGCGCGTTATCAGTCAATGGTGTTTGGTAGTGTTGGAATGTCATTGAGAACTAAATATGTAGTATATTTGTTTAAAGTTTTTTTTTGGAATGCGAAATTAAAATTGACAACTTTTTGTATTACTGGGGCCTACATTTTAGTTGGAAATATCCGAAGCATTGTGGTTACCGGGTGACAGAATTTTTAATATTTTTTACTATGTACTGTTATTTTAATATCTTATATGCCGTGTAGCTACAGAACCCATAGTATCCCGTAGGTGTCCTGTGAGGCGACACAGGTGAATGAAGCTGGAAATGAGCAGCAAGGCTCATATCTTCTTTTTATATATAAAATAATGTTTGTTTGTTCGTATTTTCTGCGCTGGCATACCGTTTATCACATTGTAATAAAAATTGTCAACTTTATTGCTTGCATTTGCGTGAAGGTAATAGGCATAGTACTATTAACTTACAGTAGGTGACGCGTGTATTCGACCGACAAATTTATTTGAAAGCAATATATCATTCAATTTCAATGAACGTGTTAACATTCATAATTGAACAATATAATTCTTCCAAAGAAGATGTTTCAAAGCAAATGGGCCAGGTCTATGTACACTACCTCAAAAAAAGAAAAAAATCTGTAGAATTCGGGAACAATACAGATAATTCATTTAAATGTATCCTGTCGCGGTAAACAATTGATGTTTATCAATTATTTTTATCGACTTTCAACATGGCGTCTCACCGATTTAGTTACTCTGTGCTTATAAACAATGACAGTAAACCATAAAGCGGCCATTGATCATAGAAAGAGGACTGTCAGTTCTCACAACAGTGTCAAAAATACGTGAAATAAAGATGCCAAACGCAAACGTCACTAATCAATAAAAATGACCGCTTACCGCCGTGACGGACTTTAGCTGTGTGTTGCAATATCAAGTGTAATTTGTAATATAATAATGCTTTGCCGGCAAAAAAAGCCATTATAAAATAATTGGACAGTTGAGAACCGTTTAAAATATGTTTTCCTATTTTTGAGTATAGTGTACAAGGACCTGGCCCATGCTCCATATATTTTGGAACATCTCGTTTTAGTTGAAAACTCTTGGTATTTTTTTTTCAGAATTTCGAATATGTACGCCGAGTCAGCGGAAGAATATCTCACATTTACTCTTTGCGACGACGGCATAGAAATGGTGCATACAGAGTATTCGGCTTCCTTAAGTGAATTGGTAGAGCTGTACCTCCACCATCACCGATCTATTCCAGTATTCCTCAGCGCTTTAACCATGGACCTGTTCACACGGACAACTATGCAGCAGGAAGTGCAGTAGTGTTGTTGTAATCCAGAAATTTGTATGTTGTGTGGATGTGCTTATAATGCCATAGTAATTTCTGAAAAAACTGTATAATGCATGTTATGTGAATTATTTTGAATGTTTCTGAATACCATTTTGACTATTGTATTATGTTAATAAAACATTAAAGAATCAAAGTTAATGTAAGCAAAATCTATGTATAATTAATTTTAGGGTTTACTTCAGTACTTACTTACTTACTTATCTTCACGCACAATCCCTAACAGGGTAGCCAGAGAGAACAGATCGCCAAGTGTCACGATCATTACATACCTCTTTCGCTTCTTTCAGGTTCATTAACTTCTTCATACATGCACGTCTAGGTATCCGAGTACTCTTGACCTTCCCCTCTTCGATCAATTTGCTCACATGGTCTTCGAAAGTTAGTCTCGGTCTACCTCGACACCTTTTAATATTTACTTTCGCTCTATATATTTTCTTCACCATTCGGTCTTCACTCATTCGCTCAACGTGCCCAAACCATTGGAGTACGCCCCTATCAATTTTTGTGATAAGGTCATCTTTCAATCCTACCATATGGTAGGATGCGAATCTCTTCGTTTCGCTTTCGATCGGCTATGGTAACGCCACACATTTTACGAAGAGATCGCATCTCCACTGCATTCAACTTGCTTTTATGCTTCTTCTGGCATACCCAGGTTTCGCTGCCATATAACAAAGTCGGTACCAACACTGCATTATGTATTGCAAGGCGTGCACTCTTCACCACGCCTTGCCTTTTTACTAATGCATTCAGGGCACCATTGACTTTGTTTCCGGCAGCGACACGCCTATCCACATCTAAATCACATCTTCCATCCCGGCTGAAAGCACTCCCCAAGTATACAATTTCATTTACCTGTTCTAGACATTCCTGATTTACCCATATTTCACATTTCGTTCTCTCTTCGTCCTTTTCAAACTTTTACTTCAGTGATACCGCAAAACTGATTTTTTTAATAAAAACATATTTTTATTATATCATATATGTAATACGCATACACTAAATACGCATACCTTCCATTTAATCTCTATATTAGGTGCGCTAGGTTAGATTAGCCAAAATATTGAACATCCAGATGATTGTCATAACTTTTGGTGTCAACGTCATAAAATATCTCAGAAGGAACTTGAAACTAACAAATACAGAACACTAGGGGAAGCAGAGGAAATGTCGTTCACTTAGAGAAGAATACCGTATTTGAAAAAAAAGATTATTTAATAAAGTACGCTAGAATAACAAGATTTTTATTACTTGGTAATCATCATTCTCAATCGAAAAAAATTTATCTTTTACATATTATAATCGGTAAGAATTCTTACAACAATAAAAAAAACAGGTTTTAGTGCCATTACCCCTGACTATGGGTAATACCGCTCGAGCTTAGAGCTAATGACGCTCATAGCTATTAGTTTGAATCTAACAAGTGAGATAAATTTCCAATAATCAAACATCTTAGATCAACTATTTTAATTGCGATTGGTAGGCAATTGGTACAAATCGCAATTACCCGTAATTTCCCTTATGAGAATTAACATCTATGACTAATTAACAGGCTTTAATAGGCACATAAATGCCATATTATATTCTTCTGGATAATCTCATCCAGACCACATGGCATGATCCCGCAGTGCGCATGTGGTACAGCGATATCACATTTCATTATTGCATCAAAAATTTTCGCATAGATTGAATTTGCCGCCCACGTCTATGTCATCATCACTGTCATCGTTGCAAACATGTATATTTACGTCATCTTCGGTGTCTTATGCCGGGTCTCCACCATAGAAAAATTGCCAACTTTTGTATTGTCAACACTTGTTGGTGGCAAAAGTTTCTGTAAATAAAAATTGAGTTGGCAACAAAAATTGTAAACAAATGTCGGAATCATGTTTCCATTTTTGGCGGTAAGCATTAAAAGAATACGCTTGTTGCAAATATGTATGTATTCACTTTGTGGGGACGCTTGTTGGAAACTTCAGGTGGCAACATGTCTGTCAAGTGGAAGAACGAATTAACCGACACGATAATAGATTTTATATCAAACACAGATCATACTATGGGCTGAGAGTGATAGAGGTTATAAAAATATAAACATAAAAAAAGATGCATGTAAATGTATCTGCTTGCATAATATCGTCTTTGTCAACAATTTTGCCAACAAAATTTTGGTAGAGACAGCTCGTTGTCAACAGAAATGTTTCTCAAATCGATGGCGACTTGTTTTAACCCGGTGTGGATACAATGGAAACAAAAGTTGGTAATTTTTTAGTGATTTGAAATCAGAAACACAAAAGTTGCCAACAATTTCGGTGGATACGCGTCTTTAGATGAGTTTCTGAGATTTATCTTTGGCTTTCTTATGTGGATTGCTATTTAGCTCATTCTATCACCTATTTCTCGAAGGAGGGAATGGAATGTTATTTGTTTTCGCTGCTTGTCTTTGGACATCCCCTTTTCAATTGCAGTTTTAGCGTGTAGGGTTTTCTTAGCTCTAAGGCGGTGGTTCTTTGAAATTTTTTAGTCATCTGTTAAAAAAAATACATTACTAACGGGTAACGGCGTTCACTTGAGCGTCGTAACCCCAAACGGTCGTTATCTATCAGACTTGGATAAAATTAAAGATACAATTGTTTAAAAGAGTTAATGATATTGATAGAAATGTTTTAGCACCTAAAATAATAATACCAGCAATAAATGAGTACTAAAATTCTGGACTTAGCGACATGAACATTCAACGTAAACATAGGTCAGTGCGGTCACATACAAACACACGAACCTCAATACATATTACGTGCTGCAAGCGGAGTAACTTGTCACTGCCTATTCATGCGTCACACACAAAGCACTTCAGACCTCCTAAGGTTTTTCTATGCACCGTATTTATCAAGATAATTGGGTGAGCGGTATTACGCGATTAGCGCCATTCCCCCCGCATCCCCTACTATATTTCAAGTGACGTCGAAACCATGCTCAAGTTCTTGACTCGCACTCACGCAATTTTATAAGAATGCTTACCAGGGCCTGGCATACACTACCTGTCATCCAGTTATTTCCAACTGGTGTATGCCTTCTCGGAAAGGCCTATGTCCAACTGTGGACTTAAAAAGGCTGCTGATGGTGATAATGGATACGTGTGTTGATGTGTGTACTAACCTGTGCGGTTAAAGAATGGGATTGAAAATGGCGTTGCCTCTATTCTCCTCTCGCTCGCACACTTTCGCTATGTATTTTCACACCCACCGGTAGACTGCAAAAAAATTACATTGCGATGTGCGTTTTTCGTACGTTCTGTAACTTCAGCCCAAATTCTCATTGGAATCAATGACATAACAAAATGACATAAACTAAAAAAAAAATTGTCCGATTTGCTAAATTGTGAGCAAAGACGCGATCTGAGAATTTTCTTCATTTTCGTTTGTCTTTAGTAGTGATCAAGACTAAATTTTATCCGAAAAATATAGAGATTTTATTAAAATAGAAATATTGATAAGATAAAATAAATGGTCTTTAATGATTATCTTAAGTCATGACGCTACATTAACAGATCCCACCCAGGCGAAGACAGAGCGGATCGCTAGTTATGTCATTTTAAAATTAATGTATAAATTAATGTACCTATTAATATAACTATTTGGGTATAGAATTATTTTTAAACATTTTCCTAATAACAGAAAATTTCCAATTAACCATATAATATAACGTTTCACCGTTATGAGCGGGTTTTTATTTTTTACTATTGGTAGGATGTTGATTGTTGACGGTACGGGCTAGATGAGTCGCCATTTCTAACCCATTCTTTATCTGTACGGACTGTTCTGCGTTTCATTAAGAGTTCCTTAGTAAAAAACAAAACAATAAAGTTAAAATTAAATTACTGTGTATTTATTAACTTTTTACTCTATTCCAATTGATATGCCCAAGTTACTTTCAAAATTGACTATTTCTTAGTGATAAGAACATTTTGTAATCTCTCAGCCGGGGGTAGGATAGTTGTAGTTAATAAGTAATTGTAGCAGTAAGTTGTTTGCTTTGTAAAGTGAACTATTGTAATGTAAAGTGACTTTAAAAATGTAACTTTTACTTGAAATTATCATTTTGAATATCATAGTTTGATTATTCTGTACATGATTTAGAAGTGTACTAGTTCAAGAGTAAAGATGTAAGAACGAAGTTAATTAATTAATTATTTTAAACATCTTGAGGTTTTCGGTGTTAGTTATAGAAGCTAAAAAGATATGATAATTATTATAATCCAATAAAAGACTTTTAAGTTATTAAAGCAATTGGTAAAAGCTAGATTTTTTACTATCGACAAATAGTATTGACTTCCCTTTTGAAAGTTCTTTTAATGGTTCAAATTTGAATATAATATTTTCATTTTTGAGGTCCATATATTGCAAATGTCGTGTTTTTAATTTCAACATCACTTCAGCTAACTTTTATCATCTATATCTTACGAGAAATTATGAAATTAAGATAAACTACAAGACAATTTTTAATGCTTTTTACACAATGAGTACTTACTTTTATTAAAATCAATTAGATAATTTCTTAAACAAAAAAGAATCCTATATTTATTAGTCTATAAATGTTCAGTTTATAGAGAGGGAAAAGATTGAATTGCACCCTTCCATTTTTCTTAGAGTAATTACATACATATTATGTATGCATAGAGGGAACCTACAATGTATATGTACATATAATAAATCCGTGTCTGTCATTCTAATGTTTTCTGGAAAAAACAATGCCATCAAAAACATAACTTGTAAAAAAAACCAAGTCTCGCAATTCAGTTCTTATACCTTAAAAACTTAAGTTATGTTTTTGATGGCATCTTATTTCTTTTTGTAGATAAGATAGTCCTACTTTTTTCCTTTCCCGTACCTTCTACTTCTTGAATATCAACAACGTACCTATTCACACCTATTATACATATACAAGTATACTGATTCATTCACTGCAAATATAACTT